GCATGGTGAACGTATGTTGTGAAAGTGTGAGTGTGTGACCGTGTGATGGTGTGTGAGAACTTGTGGTGAATGTGAATATGACCGTGTGTGAGCATGTGTTAGAGCGTGTGATAGTGTATGAGCATGTGATAGTGTGTGAGTAAGAGCAAGTTTGTGAATGTGAGAATGTGTATGTGTGAATGAGAACATGTGAGGATGAGTGTGATAGTGTGTGAAAACGTGATAGTGTGTGAGAATATGTGAGCATGTGTGGAGTGTGAGTGAATGTGTGAGAATGTGAGAGCGTGTGTGTGAATGTGAGCATGTGTGAATGTCAGAATATGTGAGTGAATGTGAGAGCATGTGTGAATGTGAGAGATGAGTGTGTTAGTGAATGTGAGAGCGTCTGTGAATGTGAGAGAATGTGAGTGTGAGTGAATGAGTGTGTGAGTGAATGTGAGAGCGTGTGTGAATGTGAGAGAATGTGAGTGAATCTCAGTGTGTGAGTGAATGTGAGAGCGTGTATGTGGATGAGTGTCTGTTTGAATGTCAGCGTGTGTGAATGTAAGCACTGCAGTTCCTCTGGTGTCTCTGCAATGGCAGCTCTGGACTCCCTGTCATTCTTCACTGGTCTCAGCTTGAGCCAGCAGAAGGCCCGCCAGATGCTCAAGAACCAGGCTCTGAGCGTGTAGCTGTGCGACGTCGCTACCCAGGCTCAGGAGACCCTGGGCTCCACCATTGACAAGGCTACCGGGACCCTGTTAGATGGCTTGGCCTCCCGACTCAGGGATACCTGGTGTCTCTCCTTCCTTGTAAGCTGCATAGCCAGTAAGAAGATCCACACTGAGCCCCAGCTGAGCGCTGCCCTTGAGTATGTGCAGAATCACCCCTTGGACCCCATTGACACTGTGGACTTTGAGCAGAATGTGGTGTGGGTGTCAGTGTGACCCCAGAGCAGATTGAGGAGGCTGTGGAGGCTGCCATTAACAAGCACGGGCCCCAGCTCCTGGTGGAACGTTACCGTTTCAACATGGCGCTGCTGATGGGAGAAGCTCGGGCTGTGCTCAAGAGGGCAGATGGCAAAATGATCAAGAATGAAGTGGACATGCAGGTTCTCCACCTTCTGGGCCCCAAGATGGAGGCTGATCTGGAGAAGAAGCCCAAGGTGGCCAAAGCTCGGCTGGAAGAAACAGATTGGAGGACAGCAAAAGATGTGACAGAGAATGGAGAGACTGCTGACCAGACCCTGTCTCTGATGGAGCAGCTCCCAGGGAAGGCCCTTAAGTTCCGCAAGCCTGGTGAGAACTACAAGACCCCAGGCTATGTGATCACTCCACACACCATGAATCTACTAAAGCAGCACCTGGAGATTACTGGTGGGCAGGTACCTGCCCAGTTCCCACCAGAACCCAATGGAATCCTGCATATTGGACATGCCAAAGCCATCAATTTCAACTTTGGCTATGCCAAGGCCAACAATGGCATCTGTTTTCTGCGCTTTGATGACACCAACCCCACGAAAGAGGAAGCAAAGTTCTCCAGTGCCATCTGTGATATGGAGGCCTGGCTGGGCTACACATCTTACAAAGTGACGTATCCCTGTGACTATTTTGACCAGCTATGTGCCTGGGCTGGGGAGCTCATCCGCAGGGTTCTGGCTTATGTGTACCACCAGTTAGGGGAGGAGCTCAAAGGCCGTAATCCCCTGCCCTCACCCTGGAGAGACTGTCCCATGGAAGAGTGACTGCTGCTCTTTGAGGCAGTGCGCAAGGGCAAGTTTTCAGAGGCTGAGGCCACACTATGGGTGAAGCTGGTGGTGGAGGATGGAAGATGGACCCTGTATCCTATCGAGTCTACAGGGTCTAAGTATACACCACATCACCACATGGGACAAATGTTGCATCTATCCCACCTACGACTGCACACATTGCCTCTGTGACTCCATCGACCACATCACTCAGTCATTCTGCACCAAGGTATACCAGGCCCAACGCTCTTCCTACTTCTGGTTTTGCAATGCACTGGATGTCTGCTGCCGTGTTCAGTGGGAGTATGGCTGCCTCAACCTGCATTATGCTGTTGCTCTAAGAGGAAGATCCTCCAGCTTGTAGCAACTGGTGCTGTGCGGGTCTGGGTTGACCCATGGCTCTTAATACTCATGACCATGCGACAGCGGGGCTTCCCACATGAGGCCATCAACAACTTCTCTGCCTGGGTGGGAGTGACAGTGGCACAGACCACAATGGAGCCACATCTTCTAGAAGCCCGTGTGTGTGATGTGCTGAATGACACAGCCCCACGAGCCATGGCTGTGCTGGAGTCACTACGGGTCATCGTCGCCAACTTTCCTGCTGCCAAGTCATGGACATTCAGGTGCCCAGCTTCCCAGCTGATGACACCAAAGGCTTCCATCAGGTTCCTTTGCACCCATTGTGTTCATCAAGAGGACTGACTTCAAGGAGGAGCCAGAGCCAGGCTTTAAGCACCTGGCTTGGGGCCAGCCTGTGGGCCTGAGGCATGCAGCCTACATCATTGAGCTGCAGCGTTTTGTCAAGGGCCCCAGTGGTTGTGTAGAGAGTCTGGAGGTGACGTGCAAAAGGGCAGATGCTGGAGAGAAGCCGAAGACCTTTATTCACTGGGTGTCACAGCCTTTGATGTGCGGGTTTCGCCTCTATGAGCGACTATTCCAGCACAAGAACCCTGAAGATCCTATTGAGGTGCCTGGTGGGTTCTTAAGTGACCTGAACCTGGCATCACTATGTGTGGTAGAGGCAGCATTAGTGGACTGCTCTGTGGCCCTGGCAAAACCCTTTGACACGTTCCAGTGTGAACGTCTTGGGTACTTCTCCGTGGATCCAGACAACCATCAGGGAAAGCTTGTTTTTAACTGAACTGTGACACTGAAGGAAGACCCGGGAAAGGTGTGAGCTGGAAGCACTGTGAACCTACCTCATCTTCTTGGAGGTTGGGGCTACCCTCACCACCCCAAATTCCATGTTAATAAAGAACAGCTAAATTTAAAAAATGACTCTTTTTTGATAAGGGCCAATCATTTATTTTCCCTGCCCCAGTCACACACTCTCCCTCTGTGCCCACTCCTGCCTGCTCTGACCTGCTGTGGAGAACACCCTCGCAGTGCCCCCACCCTCCCCACACCACCTCATGGCTCTCCTTTACTTAGCTGCCGGTCCAGCTGCCTCAGAGTGTTAGAAGGGCACCATTTTCAGTTCTCTTCCTGTCTGACTACAGGGTTTACAACAGGCAGCTCTAAGTGTTGCTTTCCGTGCAAATGTTTTTTCATTACAAATCTAACTAGGTTTGAAATGTTTTGTAGAATAAGAATATTCTTTTCAACAAACTTTAAAAAATGTACAGTTTTGTAGTTTGTTTCCGCCTCCCCCGCCCCCCTCCCTAACAGCTCAGCCTGACCCGGACAACCCCTGTTTTCCTTGGTTGCATTTTGGGGGGTGCCTGGCATCCCCAGAAATTCAGCTTCATGGCTGACAGGTGACCATGGCAGGGGCTTCACCGATACCCTTGGTAACCGTAGTAGTTCCTGTAGTATTGGTGTCTGTCCTGGAGGTGGCGGTAGTAGTAACTGCCAATATCAGTTGTATTGTCTGTAATAGTCTCTGTATCTGTTATACTCATCATCTCGCCTGAAAAATTGATCATAGTCTCCCCTGTATTGATCATAGAAATGACGGTAACCCCCTCTGTTTCCAGGCTGCTCCCAGTAGTACTGCTGCCCGTAGGCCTGGTTGTCGTAGCCATGGCGCTGCCTGCCCACATAGCCTTGGCCCTGACTTCGGTTCTGCTGGTTGTGCTTGTTACGCTTGTTTCGGTAGTTTGTCCGCTTCTTGGTGGTGGTGGGTGGGCAGTAGCGTCCTTGCCTCCTCCTTGTACTTAGTGACGATGGGCTGAGGTTCCTCCTCCTCCAGCTCCCCATATGTCACCTCATCCATATAGTCGAATTTTTCAGGCAAAGAGAAGTTGGCTTTCATCTCCAGCTTTATAGATTCAGGCACAGCATCTCCCTCTACTTCCTTTCTCAACTCCAGCCTCTTCTTCCAATCTTCCTCATTAGGGACAGCCACCACCACTTTCTGAGAGAAGATCTTGAACAGCAATAGCTTCCGCCGTTGGCCAGAAGTGTATATATCACACTGATCAAGAATAAAGTTCCTCTTTGTCTGGGAAGCAATCTGGACTGAGCTTACTAAGGCACTGGGAGGCTTGCTGAACTAAAAGGTCTCAGCTTTTGGGTTCCTATCTCTGGCTCCTTGAACCCCTTCATCCTCATTTGATTGAGCACAGTCTCAGCTCCCAGGACACTGTATCTTTTCTCAGGGCTTTCTTTTGCATATTTCAATGCCCACTGAGTCTTTCCAGATCCGGGTCATCCCACTTTCAGAATCACCCCACATTCCTCTATGGTCTTGGGAGGAACTGCAGTGCTCACTGCAGCATGTGTGAGTGAATGTGAGCGTATGTGAACGTGTGTGAACGTGAGAGCGTGTGAGTGAGCGTATGCTGAGTGTGAATGTGAGAGCATGTGTGTTGTGTGTATGCATTGTGGGGTAGAAGGTGCGAGGGCAAAGCGAGGAGTGAGGGTAAGGAGCTGGGGATTGAGGTCCTGAGCAATTCTCCGCTGCAGCTGAGGACCGGGCAGAGAGGTAGGAAACGGGCTAGGAGCAGCTTGCTCTCTGACTCAGTGAGGCCCTGCTGAGGGTCTGATGATTTTTGGTGACTGAGTGTCCTCCTCACCCTGCCTAGCGATGCAGGTGTGACGTGTGCACTCCTGTTTCTTCCCTGTGGCCTTGGCTTCGCCCCTGCTCTGCTGGGATTAAGCAACTTCCAGAGTTGTTGGAGGGCTTGGATCTCTGCCTTGAGCCTGGAAGGATTACTTTCTGGTTGGAATGTCTGAGTTAGTTAGGCTTTTCTGGAGGATGTGGATGACATTTGGTTTCAGCTGGGTTGAAAGCAAATTGCCTCTAAGTGTTTATCTTTGTCATCGGCAGCTCTTCACTGGGTCATCTGTCTGTCACAGCCTCAGAAGACCAGCAGGATGGCTGCCAACAAAAGTAAGGGCCAGAGCTCCTTGGCCCTCCACAAGGTGATCATGGTTGGCAGCGGAGGCGTTGGCAAGTCGGCCCTGACGCTTCAGTTCATGTATGATGAGGTAAGCCCTGCTAGGCACAGACCCCCTTCCGATGGCATTGCCCTAGCAGTGTCCCTGTTCCCACTGTTTCTGTGCCGGTCCTCACATGCACAGGGGATCATGGAGCAAGTCTGTGTTGAGGTGGCATCTCAATAGCTTCCCTAGGAAGGTCTGATCACATAAGATCTGGATTGCCGATTCTAGGTGAATAATTTCAACTCTGGCAGGGATGTGAGAGATCTCTGCTTGCGTCGATGCTATTGTTACACTGCAAGCTTGCTTTCTGACAAAAGCAGGGGAGGAGAGAGGAGCCTTTGTGCACAGATGTTTAACTTTGTGATTGCCTGTCGTGAGAGAGAGTGAAAGGGGAGCTGAGTTGCCATACAGCTTAATCCTCTCCCAAGTGATAGACATCAGATTCTCTCCAGTTCTCCCGTTACGGCAAGGTGAAGCTTGCACTATCCTTGTCCAAAATTTGTGTCGCCAAGTTAATGTGGATAACATGACTCACATGACTGGTGTTGAGTTCAGTGTGGCAGCACAGCCTTGATCCCCAGAGCCACAGAAGTCCCTGTGTGAGCCGTTTGCTAGTATACCCGGCCTTCTGTGGGCTCCACATCTGCAGATTCAAGCAGTGTAGAATGAAACATTGTGGAATGAAAATATTGGGGACAAAAACCCAGTTAAAAATAACAGTACAACAATAAAAATAATACAGATTAAAACATGCAGTGTAACAATTATTTGCATAGCCTTGACATTGTATTATATATTCTCAGTAATTTAGAGATGATTTAAAGCGTATGGGAGGATGTTATATGTAAATGTGCCATTTTAAGTAAGAAACTTGAGCATCTGCAGCTTTTGGTATGGGGGGGCGGGCAATGTCCTGGAATCATTTAAGAATACTGAGGGGTGAGTGTTCAGAGCAGAGCTCGAACCCCAGGACCTCTCATTTGCATTGCAGCCACATGGCTTTATGAGATTAATGAAAGAAAGCTATCACATCCATGTCAGCTAAAATCACTATCTTTTTTCACTGGACTTTCCCGTCATCCTGCTTCCTCTTATGCTGGCTGCAGTTGGAGTGGCCGTGATATTTTCGGCCTCTAGCTGAGGGAAATTGAGTTGGGGTGGGTTATGTGGCGGATAGTGGGTTTGTGTTGGTGTGGTTTGGAGTCACGCAGCACTTGATGATTATCGCTGGCTGCAGGAGTACTCCCACCACCCACTGTGCTGATGCGAGCATCGTGATATGAGGTGCAGGGCCAGCATGGATCCTGATGTGAATGTGTCCTGTGGCACCAGGCACAAGTGTGTGAGAACTGGAAGCTAGAAATTGGGCCTAAAAAGTCTTTCAGATCTTACAGCTTCTTATAGTGAAGCTCAATAGAGGTTTCCTAAATTTGGCAACAATCCCAAAACTTTCATTACTAGAAATGTCATGTAGTCATATGCAGAGTATGTTTATTGTAGCACTATTTACAATAGCAAAGACTTGGAAGCAACTCAAATGCCCATCAGTGATAGACTGGATAAAGAAAATGTGGCACATATACACTGTAGAATACTATGCAGCCATAAAAAAGGATGAGGTCATGTCCTTTGCAGGGACATGGATGAAGCTAGAAGCCATCACTCTCAGCAAACACAGGAACAGAAAACCAAACACCTCATGTTCTCACTCATAAGTGGGAGTTGAACAATGAGAACACATGGACACAGGGTGGGGAATATCACATACCAGGTCCTTTCAGGGGGCGGGGGACCAAGGGGAGGGAGAGCATTAGGACAAATACCTAATGCATTCGGGGCTTAAAACCTAGATGACAGGTTGATAGGTGCGGCAAGGCACCATGGCACATGTGTACCTATGGAACACACCTGCACGTTCTGCACATGTATCCCAGAACTTCGAGTAAAAAAAAAAAAAAAGTCACGTAGTTGTGAAGCTGAAAGAACCTTTTCTAAACTGTCAATACAAAAGAAATTTTCATTAACCATGCTAAAGGAAAGACGAAATTATTTTTTATTCTCTATAGGAATATTTCAAAATCATTGACGTATGACGAGAGAAAGAGTATACCACAAACAAAAAAGTAGAAGGTATTCTAGAGGTATGTCAGGCAGTGTAATAAAAACATTGGTATTTTGCTGGATTTTGTGATATCGGTGCTGTTTGTATGAGTTTTATTACTGTATAATAATCACAAATTCAGCAGGTTAAAACATACACTTATCATTCCATAGTTTCCGTGGGTCCAGAATTGGAACCTCAGCTGGGTTCTCTGCTCAGGATCCCACAACATTCCAGTCAAGGTGTCAGCTGGGGCTCTGACCTCTTCTGAGGCTTGGGGTCCCTTTTCCAGGCTCCCTAATGGTTGGTAGAATTTTGTTTCTTGTGGGTGTTAGACATAGGTCCTCAGCTAAACATTCTACATCACACAGGACAGCCCCCGACAGAAAATTAACCAGCACAAAATATCAATAATGCCACTGTTGAGAAACCTGTATTAGAGGCAGAGCCGTGGCAGATCCGAGGATAGAAGATTCCCCTACCATGTTAGTGATTGAGAGGCCCTGGGATGCCAGTTCCAAGAGCAAGTTCAGATACAGAGCTAGCTCTGCTTTGAGACTAGGATTTCGTTCTACGCAGCACTGCTGAGTAGACTAGGAGAGTCTGGTCTGGAGGTTTTGGTGCGTGCTGTGTGTGCGCTGTGCACGCAGTGTGTGTATGTATGTCTGACAGGTGGGTAGTAAGAGGAAGGGGAAGATGTGTGCAGAAGATTCAAGATTCAAGACTTTTTTCTTCTTCCTGTTCTCTTCACAGGAGACCAGGGAAAGCTATGTCTGGCCTTAGTTTGTTTTTCTCATGGGCTAACATATTTGAGAACTGGAAAGTGGCAGTTATTGAAGAAATCATGAAATAAAATTGGGAGAAGGAAGGAATAGAAATGAAGTGATGTGTGTTTGGGGTAGGAGTTCTAATTGATTTTCTAAGGTGCTAATAGAAGCTTCCATGATGATGAAACTGTTGTATATCTGTACTCTCTAATACATATGGCTATTGTGCATTTGAAATGTGGCTGGTGGCTACTATATTTGACAAAATGGTTCTGGAATCATAATTTTGGAGCTCAAAGAGACTTGAGCAGTAATGATCAAATCTAGCTAATTATAGAATTTCCTGGGAGACTTTTTTTTTTTTTAAGCCTTCTGAATAACATTTGTGGAGTTGGAGGACTGGGACTCTGTTTCAGTGGTCCTCTCCTGGCAATTCTGACACATGGCCAGGTGTGGTAATGCTTGCCTGAGAGATCATCTAGTCAAACCTGATTTCACAGTAAAGGAAACTGAAGTTTGTGTTCCGGGTTGCCAGCTGTCTAAATCAAGCTTGTCCAACCCATGACCCAGAATGACTTTGGATGCAGCCCAACACAAATATTTAAACTTTCTTAAAACATTCTGAGGATCTTTTTTGTGATATATATATATATGTTTTAGCTCATCAGCTATCGTTATTGTTAGTGTATTTTATTTGTGGCCTAAGACAATTCTTCTTCCAGTGTGGCCCAAGGAAGCCAAAAGATTGGACACCCCTGGTCTAAAGTCTCCTGGACCATTCAGATTTTTTGTTCAGTAGTACAATGCTTCACTCTTATTTAAAAGTTTTTAGCATATACGATGGAATTTTCATGAAGATTAGATTATAGAAGGAGCCACAGTCCCAGAGTCTTTATTGTCTAAGTTCTGTCTTTGAGAAAAATTGGAGGGAGCTTCCAGGGTAGCAGCAGTGAGATTTTAATCTTCCTATGCTTGGCCTAACATGCTCATTTTTACCTTTTCTGGCAGAGTAAGGCTGGGGATGGAGAGGCTTTGGCAGCAACCATTTCAGACTTTCAGTCTCCAGCAAAGCCAGTTTAGAGGAAAGTCAGCTTAGAAAGAAGGGGTCTGCGTGAAGTTTATCTCAGATTCATGTGTCTTGGATATCTGAAACAGCCATGCAGAGCTCTGCAAGGCCAGTAGGGGATAAGTATAGGTCATGCTAACGGATACGAAGACTTTGCGATTTTCTATTTCCAGCTGGGCGATATAAGCATCAGGGTTGTAATGGAATGTTAGGGTAATTGGCATACTTTTCCCTGAGTACAGAGATACACAGGGACAGCAGGACATTCTGACTCCTGTGTCAAAGGAGCCAGTGGAACTCTGGCTGGCTTTATTCTTGGAAGCTCAGCAATACATAGTTGAGAAAATTTATGGTAGAATTCAGAGACTTTCAGGGGGCAATGGTGTTTTAGATATTTTGGTTATGTATTAGTCTGTTTGGAAAGGAGTTAAAAGAAGGACACCTGAAAGCATAGGCAAGTTTTCACATCTCTATTTGCAGATAATTTTTTAGTACACGCTGAAGAGAACCTACTACTAAACATGTCTTGTCCGGGTGCAGTGGCTCATGCTTATAATCCCAGCACTTTGAGAGGTTGAGGCAGGTGGATCACAAGGTCAGGAGTTCAAGACCAGCTTGGCCAACATGGTGAAAATACAAAAATACAAAAATTTGTCTCTACTAAAACTACAAAAATTAGTTAGGCGTGGTGGCAGGTGCCTGTAATCTCAGCTACTTGGGAGGCTGGGGCAAGAGAATCGCTTGAACCCAGCAGGTAGAGGTTGCAATGAGCCAAGATTGCGCCATTGCAATCTAGCCTGGTCAACGAGCAAAAACTTCGTCTCAAAAAAAAAAAAAAAAAAAAAAAAATTGTCATATTTTTATTTTTGAGTAGCTGTTAACTGACAATACAAGGCTCTTTTTAATAGTATTCCTCAAATAACCCTTAATCCACTTTGACATTTCCAATTCAATTTTTAAGTTAAAAAAATTTTAAAGCACAGCTTTATTAAGATGTAACGCACATATGATGAAATTTGCTTTTAAAGTGTACTTTTGTTTTGAGACAGAGTTTTGCTCTTGTTGCCCAGGCTGGAGCACAATGGCATGGTTTCAGCTCACTACAACCTCTGCCTCCTGGATTCAAGCAGTTCTCCTGCCTCAACCTCCTGAGTAGCTGGGATTACAGGTGCCCACCACCATGCCCGGCTAATTTTTTGTATTTTTAATAGAGACAGGGTTTCACCATGTTAGCCAAGCTGGTCTGGAATTCCTGACCTCAGGTGATCTGCCCACCTTGGCCTCCCAAACTGTTGGGATTGCAGGCATGAGCCACTGTACCCGGCTTAAAATGTATAATCTAATAGTTTTTTTTTGTATATTCATACAGATGTGCAAACATCACCATTATCTAATTTTAGATCATTTTCATCACTCCAAAAAAAACCAGCCTACATATTAGTAGTCATTCCCCGTTACTACTTTCCTGTCCCACTCTTGGCTTCTGGCAACCACTTCCTGTTTCTATGGATTTACCTATTCTCGACATTTCATATAGATGGAATCATACAATATGTGGCCTTTATGCCTAGCTTCTTCCACTCAGCGTGTTTTGAAAAGTTCTTCCGTGTTGCAGTGTGTAGGGTCCAGCCCTATAGGGTTCTGGGAGCCGCTCCCGGCTGGTGTGGAGATGAGAAATTGTGGAAGTAAAAGACACAAGACACAGAGATAGAGAAAAGAGAGTTTGGGCCCTGGGGTCCACTGCTACCCAGATAGCGGAGACCAGCAGTGGCCCTGAATGCAGGGGTGCTCTCACTTTTATTGAGTTGCAAATCTGGACGCAGGGTAGGTAGGGTGTGGCCAGGTAGGGGCTAAGGAATTTCTGGCACCCGAAGTGAGGTAAGGAGCATAATGCATCAGCACCTTTTCCATACTGATCAAGAAAGAACAAAAACATTCAGATTTATATTATTGTTACTGATTATCTTTTCTAAGGAAAAAGGACCCAGGTGCAGAAGCAGGACATGAGAGCAGACTTGGAACGTGACCACTGAAGCACAGCATCACATAGAGACAGTTAAGCCCCCAGATGTCTGCGGGCCTACCTGACAGCATCAGGCCTTCCCACAAGAGCTTGGTGAAGTGGAGTTTTCTCCAAACTTCCCCAGGAAGGAGATGTTCCGGCCCTTTTGGACATCTCCTTCTTTAGCTGGCTAAACAGCAGGCACTTTCATAGCACTGGTACCGCTGCCCAGCCGAGGTGCCCTCCAGCAGCCCTTATGCGGGCGTGACAGAGGGCTTAAAGCATGTTGCCTTAATGTCATCCATTTCACAGTGTCACCCAGGTTCACACTTGCGACCTGAGAGGCATTAGTAAAAGAATTAAGATCACCTATGAATAACTAAGATCACATATGAATAACTAACTACTACGGTTATATTTCTAGTTACTTTCTTCTTCATTATTTATATGGAAATAGGCTGAGGCCTTTTGCTCCTGCCTCTGTGCTTATGGGATCTGCCCCCTACAGCAGCGAATGTCAGTACTTCATTCTTTCTCAAAAACGCATACCACTACAAGCCTCTTGATACACTGTTTTGTTCGTTCTGTTGCTGCTGTGAAGAAAAACCCAAGACTGGGTAGTTTATAAAGAAAAGAGGTTGATAGCCTCTTTTCTTCTGCAGGGCTGGGAAGGCCTCAAGAAACTTACAGTCATGGTAGAAGGGGGAGCAAACACATCCTTCTTCACTAGGCGGCAGGAAGAAGTGCAGAGTGAAGGAGGGAAAAGCCCCTTATGAAACTACCAGGTCTTGTGAGAACTCAACTATCACAAAAACAGCATGGGGAAAGTGCCCCCATGATCTCATCACCTTCCATAAGACCATTCCCCCAATACATGGGGATTATAATTCGTATTACAATTCAAGATAAGATTTGGGTGGGGACACAGAGCCAGACTGTATCAAATGTCTTGCCAAATTACTTTTCAGATGAGTTTTATACTTCTGTTATTATGAGTAAGATCTCCAGTTTCTCACCCTTGCTGGTGTTTACATTATAATTTTACACTGACAATAATATTGCAAGTGTTCTGCTCTATGCCTGGTTTCCTCATCTGTAAACTGGGTTGTCTACCCCTATTGTTTAAAAACAAAAAATGGCAAAGTGGAGCTATAAAGAACAGAAGTGTTATATAAAATGTTACTTCTATTCTATAGTGTCCTGTTCATAGTGCGAAGTGCCCATATAGGGATTTTTTTTTTTTGGCAGATTTATTCCCCTTAAAGACTTTGTTAATTACCAATAATGTTTGTTTCCTCAGTTTGTAGAAGACTATGAACCTACCAAAGCTGACAGTTATAGAAAGAAAGTGGTTCTTGATGGGGAAGAAGTTCAGATAGACATTCTGGACACCGCTGGGCAAGAGGACTACGCAGCCATTCGAGATAACTACTTTCGGAGTGGGGAAGGTTTTCTTCTTGTGTTCTCAATCACAGAACATGAATCCTTTACAGCAACTGCCGAATTCAGGTATGTTTGAAATGAGCTAGCAAAAGCGCACAGGAGACTTTTTGCCTTTTTTCATATGTCTTAATCCTATAAGGCATTTGGGGCTGAGCATACCAGGAGAGGGCTGAGCTTGTCCTCAGGAAGAATTCTGTCTAAAGAGGCTTCTGGGGCTTTCTAAATCTTGGCACATCATAGACCATGATGATTGCAATCTCTTTGGGCTTTCCTGATCTGTGATTTCTGAGTAAAATTATTTTAAGAGTCCTACTGTCCCTGAAAAAGAATGAAGCTATTCCATATACACAAGAACGTATAATTTTGTTCCTAGGTTATGGAACACTTAACCGGAGAGTGACAGATGTGAGTCAGAATGACCATTTGCTGCTACTTAAGGACTTGGGCAGAGTTGAGGGGCAAGAACATGGCTTTAGGGTTAGGAGACTTGGTTTGAATTCCAGCCTTGCCACTCACTGACCATGGGCAAGTTTACTTTGTGTCAGGGTCTTACTTCTTTTTCTAGAAATGTGCTTGTGAGTTGAGAATGAGATGAAAGGATGCATTAAACTGTGAATTTCATATGGTCAGGAACATGGCTACCCTCCATTGTTCCCAGGCTCTGTCACAGTGTAGACACGTGGTGCTTCCATAGTGAGTAGAATATCCATTATTATCATCATTTTATAATGTGGCAATTATTCTCCATGAAGGTTTTAGAGAAGAAAGAAAAAAAAAAGAAAATATGGCAGTTAAAAATACCTTTGGCATAATTCCTATGCTCTATAATTGTGCCTTTACCCCATACCCTTCCCACTTCTCCGACATAATTGCATTTTAAAAAATCTGTTCTCCTTATAAACATGTCCATCTAGATGACTTTTTAAGAAGCAGATCTAGAGTTTAATAGGGAACTGAAGAGAAAAACCCAAAAGTCAATCAGTTTTTTTCGGTTTTTAGCAAGTTCTGGTCTGACAGTAAATTGGTCAACCAGAGGTGAAAATGAGGAAGCGTCACTGAGGCAGGGAGGTCTCAGGGCTGAGTGCAGCTCACCCAGCAGAGCGAGTGGAAGGTAATAGGGAGGTGCCTCAGTGATGCTTCATCGCTCCAGGCTTCAGGGTTGAAGACCTAGTTTTGTGGAAGCAGAGTGTGTGTGTTGCAGCGATCAGTTGGATAACTATGACTCATTATGAAGTCCTATTAATTTTTAGATATTTCAGACCTGCCCAGGGGCTGCTCTGTTTGAATATAGCCCATGCATTTATAATTGTTTGCTTCTACATAGTCCTGTTTTTCTGCATCCTGGAAGGTAAAGGAGCACAGATGCATACACTCTCTTATTTTCTTCCCTGTCCTGAGCCTTTTGATTTCCTGTTGTCATGTGACTGACTTAGAAGAGAAGTGGGCAGGAGAGTCCTCTGCAGAGGATATCGAGAAATACAGTATTTCAAGTGCCGCTTGTCCTCTCCTCAGTCACCACACATGCACAGGTAGTACTTGGGCATTCTCATAGAGTTGGAGCAGGGCTCCCCTCTTCTTGGAAAAGGGTTTTGGTTGTTAGGTGAAAAGAGAGATCCTTAGAAGAAAAAGGACAGATGAATACCTGAAACCAGAAAGAAGGGGAAGTTCGTTCTTCTGACGTGAATTCCGCTTAGGTGTCTCATGTCATTGGAAACAGGAGAATGCAGGTCAATGATCTGAGCCCTGTGGCTAAACTCAGTCATGTCTCTTCATGATGTGTTAGCAGTTTTAAAACTTAGCATTTCTGTATTATCTTCCAAATAGAAAGGCCCCAATATAAAATGAAATGTGAATATGCTGTCTTACTTGAAACATTTCCTGGAAAATATTTTATGAACTAAGATAAATAGGCTTGTCATAAGAGACCAGAACTTGGTACTCCCATTTTTGGATCGATGTTTATCAGTAAGGTAATTTTATGTGTCCCTGCAAGACTAATGAGCTGGAAGGCTATCCGTTTTTATTGTTCATAGTTTGTATTGATCACATGACTTTTAAATGTATTGTTTTTTTTTGACCGCAGTTCAAGTGTAGGGTATAACAAAGCCAATTTCAAGCATCTTTTTATCCTTCTAAGTTTGTCTTAAAATCTTTGATATGTGGTACTTAAATTGACTACATGGCAATTTCAGTTGCTTTTTTTGTTGTTGTTTTGTAGAGACAGGGTTTCCCTATGTTGCCCAGGCTGGTCTTGAATTCCTTGGCTTAAGTGACCCTCCCGCCTCAGCCTCTCAAAGTACTGGGATTACCGATGTGAGCCACCCTGCCTGACCTAGAAAATATTTTTATTATTGTGAAATATTACCTTATACCATATGAAAGTGCAGAGCTCTGCAAAATACATTTTCGAAGGGGACTCTTTTTAGAATGTATTGGAATATAAAAGTAGAAATGTTCTCATTGGACCAAAATAATGGAAATGGGATATTTATTTTTTTAAAATATTTGGTTTGGATTAGTACTTTCAGGTAGCTGATTATTTTTAGTAGACATAAAATTTAATGTGCTACAGGTAATGGTATTTTTATAGAAGACTCTTTTGAAGTACTTTCCTTAGGGCTTGTAGTATTTCATTTTCTTCGCTTTGTAGTAGAAAAATGGTATGTATTGGAATGTGCTTACTGCCTACCATATCTGGCCCAATTCTGTGGCCTGTAACATTACTATGTCTGGGTAGAAACTGGGGGTGGAATGACACACATGTCCCATGCACTTGCAGATCTAATCCAAACTGAAGTTGCAAAACAAAACAGCATTCACCTTTCCTGCTTGAGATTCCCTTGGATGTTTCTGTTCTGTTCCATTCTGTTCTATAATATTCTATTCTATTCCATTGGCGAGGAGAGGGGGAAAATTGCTGATTGTGACCCACTAGATTGGTTTTGTGATCTACTAATAGGCTGCCACCTTCTGTATAGAATACACTGGATTTCATAGCTTTTATGTCACAAAGAAACCATACCATATTTTCAGGGGAATTAAGGATTTTATGGAGATAGTTCCCTAGCTTGTTTTCTTTTTTTTGGTGGTTAAGTTGGGGTCCCTGTTATGATAACAAAATCCTGGGCTCCTGTTCAGACACCTACTTCTGGAAGACTGGGCCCAGACATCTGCATTTGTAGTGAGCATCCCAGGGAGTTCTGATGCAGACAAACTGAGAACCAGACTTGGAAACACTTGTCTCATTCATGACTGCCTCCAGGGAGTGCTTTCTTGAAACATGCCCTAAATCTAGTGATTTTTTTTTTCTTCTGCCTTAGGAAAGCCTTTTATTTTAGATGGGCTCACAAAACTTGGGTTCTTATTTTAGTTTTTTTAGCTGCTGTATTCTTGGTGTAATGCCTTAGGGAACAGATTCTCCGTGTGAAGGCTGAAGAAGATAAAATTCCATTGCTCGTTGTGGGAAACAAGTCTGACTTAGAGGAGCGGAGGCAGGTGCCTGTGGAGGAGGCCAGGAGTAAAGCCGAAGAGTGGAGCGTGCAGTACGTGGAGACGTCGGCTAAGACGCGGGCCAACGTGGACAAGGTAGGCACGCCCTCTGTGTGCTTCTCAGAAACACACTTGAGAAACAGCAGAATGGAGGCATCTCACCTGCTTGTTTATATGGGAACCATTTATGAAAACTAGGCAAAGATTCTGATTTCTCTGAATGTCTAAGCCATGATCATGATTGCAATGAGAAACATTGAGAGAATATCACCCTGTACTTCAAACACCCCCCAGAACCTTTCATTTTGTCATGAGGCTTCATTAGAGTAGAGTATGCTTAATGTTTTTTTTTTTTTAAAGACAAAGTCTTAGTCTGACACCAGGCTGGTGTGGTGTGATCTCAGTTCACTGCAACCTCTGCTTCTTGGGCTCAAGCAGTCCTCCTACCTCAGCCTCCCGAGTAGCTGGGACTATAGATAGGTGTGCACCCACCACACCAGATATTTTTTGTAGTTTTTTTGTAGAGATGGGGTTTCACCATGTTGCCCAGGCTGGTCTCAAATTCCTGGACTCAAGTGATCTGCCCGCCTGAGCCTCCCAAAGTGCTGGGATTACAGGTGTGAGCCACCACACCTGGCTGAGTATGCTTACTGTTGGGTTGGTCCTGGGAAGGATAGTGGGACGAGACCATTGGTTTGTGGAGGCTGGGCTGGAAGGATGGACGTCCTTAGCGTGTGTGTGTGCTGTCATCTTCCACAGCCTTGCTCTTCAGGAGCAGGATGGGTGGGCCTGGCTGCTTCCAGGAGGTTCCCCTGGAGGTGCCCTTGAAAGAAGATATGTGGAGCTTCTTGCTTTTGCTCTCATTGAGTTGTTGGTTAGATTTGTTCTTTTTACCTTACTGTTCACTGACAGAGCCACGGTGGTCTGTCTTTGTAGTGTAGTGTCTAAATAGTATTTGCTCTCAGAAATCAACTCTCTGGGTCTCTCTTTTTTTTTCTCTTATCCCGTCCCAGCATACTTTCTCATTCAAATCTCTGAAACTAATAAAAGAGTGACTTTGAGTGACAATGATGAATGCTAACGATTTGAAAATCCACCTATCAGGGCTTGCTATTGTCAGGCCTTTTGTCTTTTTAAAATTAAGGTTCAAGGTGATTGCCACACAGCTAAAATCTTAAAGCTATACCTTAAAGATGAGACTTTCCTTCTGCCTTGACCGCGTTCACTAGCTCTCACGGCACATCCATGCGCTTGCAGAATCTCAGCACATAGCACCTTGGCAGCCACACAGTAGACACGTCTGCTTTTCGTTCTGCAGCGTCAGCGCCCAAATCCCCCATACCCCGCCTTCTGTTTCTCTGTCTTGTGCAGAAACAATTCCCGTTTGCTTCATTATCTGACAAGGGAGAGATTTTTATCCAAGCTTTACTTTCACTTGAAAGGATGCTAGAGGAACATTGGTATTTAGAATGTTGGTATTAGAAGGAATTTGCTTTAGATGCACTTTGGCAGTATACATCTATTTGTATGTATCGTACATAAAAAACATGTATCCTAGGCGACATACATATGTGGGATAGATATACATATGGGATATAGATATTCTACAACTGAAGTCCGTTTAGTTATCATCTGCCATGTGAAGCATGTGTTCCGTTGTCAGCTTCTTTATATTGTCATCTCTCAATGCTTACACTCTTATTGCTACTTAAAATATTTTTATCAGATTATTTTCCAGCTGTGGAAACCACACAGGAAATCCAGAAATATGCTCATTTTTAACTGGAACTGCAGATGCGCATTTCTTGGATGGGCTGTGGTACGGGGGTTGGGGGTGGTGGGGTGGTGTGCGCTGTCATCTTCCCCGGTCTGCTGGACCAGCTTGACCTGCCAAACGGGAACCAGCAGAAGCTTATGACTGGCAGCATTGTATTCACTTGTAAAGAATTTACGTGAAAGGTGTGATAAGATCAGCCCGTGAACAACTTTGTCATCGTTTTAAGTTGGAGGCACTCCATTCCCCTCCTCTCGTCTTGTGCTGTTAGGACCCCCCCCCAAAAAAAAAAAAAAAAAAAAAGAAAAAGAAAACCCATAGCATTTGAAGCTGCTCACTGTTGCTGTCACGGGCAGCGCTCTTTCTGGAGAGGCTGGCGGGAAGGGGTGTTTGGGTTAGCCTGATCCAGCTGGGGCCTGAGGTTGGGAGTGCTTTTTTGTGCCTGGAGCTGGTGGTAAATGCATGTGGAGCCCCACACTCCAGAGGCTTGGTCTTGCTTTTCACCAGGAAGAAGGTGTGGCCATGAAGGAGCTTGTGGTATTGTGTGAATGTCCACAGATAAAGGCTTGTGCTCAGTCCCCCGCTTTCAGTCTCCATCATTCTCTATGAGAAATCTCAAATGTCTCTTCGTAAGATTCATATTCTGTCTGCTTGGGTATAATCAGTCCTCTGGCGTGATTGCTGGTAGCAGAGGGCAAAACGCAAACTACTGTGACAAAAGGATAATCCGTATCTAAATAAACACACTGACATTCAAAGGACAAGTCTCGTCAGTTCTTGATAAAGTTCCTCTCAGCTGACATCGCAAGGGATGAAGGAATGGTTGTTCCTGAGAATAGGGGTGGGGCAGTGTGCGTGGGGAGGGGTGGAGGCCAGAAGGACATCAGGCATCCTCTGAGCTTTAGCTGTTGATGCTTTACGCCCTGCTCCTCCCACCCTGCCACCTCCCCAGGGCTGCTGTTGTGGAGTTCACTGGGAAAGCTGTCATGCAGAATGAGGTTCCACCCTCCGTGGGGTCTGTGTAAGATTAAATGAGATGCAGAAGTGTAAAGCGTACCTAGGAGCAGGGACTCATCACAGCATTCTTCCCTTTCCTGGTGGTTGGACGTGCTAGAAAGTCTGCTTGCTCCTGTTACTCTCAGTATTTGTAAACTTTGTAAATTTATAGATCTGTTCTATACAAAAACACGTTTTATCCTTCATCACACTTACTGTAAGAGAAGATTTTATCATTTTGAAAGCAGCTGTTAGGCCGGATGCAGTGGCTCACGCCTAGCACTTTAGGAGGCCGAGGTGGTGGATTGCTTGAGCTCAGGAGTGCAAGACCAGTCTGGGCAACATAGAGAAACCCTGTCTGAATCTAAAAAAAAAAAAAAAAAAAAAAAAAAAAGCAGCTGGCGCACTGTAATAACAGTGTGGTGATTCTGTCTCTGGCTTGAGCAGTTGTATGAGAGATGTTTACTTTGTATAATTAGCATGTTTTTAAGGTTAATTTTTCTTATTTGCCCCAGATCTTTTGTTTTTGTTGACATCTGGTTTAAAAAAATAAGTTTGACTTTATGCTTTAAAATATACATATCCAGCTTAGTAAAATTATCTCGTTGAATCCTTAAATGCTATGTTCACAGTGCCAGGTTAACAACAACAAAATCATTAAATGGCTTTTTCTTCACTATTCTTTTTACTCCTTCCTCCCCATTCCCCAGGTGTTCTTTGACCTAATGAGAGAAATCAGAGCAAAGAAGATGTCAGAAAACAAAGACAAGAATGGCAAGAAAAGCAGCAAGAACAAGAAAAGTTTTAAAGAAAGATGTTGCTTACTATGAATGTCAAGGTGACGGATGAAGCCAGGTGCCCCTAAAGACACAGGGCTGGGTTGGTAAAGAGAAGGCTGTGGTTGACGTCTTGCCTGTGCTTCCCGCTCTCCCCAGCTTCATTCACTCAGACTTCTTGAAATGGGGAAAAATACTTGTGACTCAGTGGCTGGCAGAAGAAGTAAGCCCATGCGGTGGAACTGCTGCGTTGTCAGGGGGTTGTGATTTTCTTCCTGCCTCCCTTCTTCCTTCCCAAAAGCTTCACTGTGTGTAAAGTGCCACAGGTAGGAAACAGGTGTTCCTTACAAAGAGAACTTTTCAACTGCAGGTGTTGTAGTAGGTGTTGGAGGAAGGAGTGGAGTAAGATGCCCTCCCACTTCGATCTGTTTAGTAGTAGTAGTGAGAAAAATCCATTCAGCCCCAAGGACATGGAAAAATCCATCGGGTTTTTGGATAAGTTTCTTGGCAGTACCCTGTGGACCTGAAACAGAGCTAAAAAAATGAATTTGAATTGCACCAAATAGATCACTACTAAGCTTCTGACCCCTCCTCACATATGAAAAGTGAAAGCTGTGAGTTGTTTTCCTCTTATTTAAATACTGGCCAATTATAGTCTGTGTTGGTTATTTTTCTCCTGTAAACATCCTGATTTTTATGTAGGAACTTTTTTTTGGCAGGCCAAGTGAAGACGAGAGAATGGTGTACATTATAAATGGTACACATGTCCACTCATGGAGATATTTTTAAGTTCTTTTTCTAAGTCCTCTCCTAACTGGCATCCTGTGGTTAGGCCCCTCCCGCTCCACTAATGGTGAGTGCACGTGCCTTTCTGATCAGCGTCACTGCACGCGGAAGGTCTAGTGAGCCTCTTAAATGTCACACACACTCTTCCCAAAGATGTGACGAATTAAAGTGGTGTTCTAAAATCATGAAGCCAGAGCCCATGCCAGACTTTCTGCTACCTCTCATAGAATTGCTCTGTAATTCTAAATTTAAAGTTAGAAGTAGAGACAGATAAGCTATTGCCCCTTTGCCTCTGAGAATTGATTGCTGTTTGTAATGTAATTATTTTCTAAGATGGCCAGATAGTTAGAGAAAGATTTTCATTGATGGGATATTGTTCATCTTTTGTATCAGGATTCTAAATTTAGCAAGCAGAAAGATATTCATCAGGAAAGGAGCACTGTGGTAAAAGCCCAGTATTCACATTTTTTCCCATTTTTGAGAAGTGACATTTCATATATAGGTGCCAAAAGTGAATTGGGATGTGGAGAGCGGGAACTTTTTGAATTTATGATTATCACAGGGATTGCAGAAATTATGATCTAACTGGAAAACAATCCTGTATCACCTCCCAAAGAATTGTGGGCTTTTTTTGAATAAAAAACAAAGCAGACAAATAGACTTTCTTGGGATTTCAGCCTTTTTCTTTTTTCCTTTTGTCACACATGTGAAATCCAAGTATTGAAGGAATGGCCAGTTACTCATTATTGTTCTTGTCAGGTTTATCTTTCAAGATAAACTACTTCAATTACTACTTGAGCTGTGGGAAATAAAGTAAGTATCAACAGTCATTTTAACTTTATCTTTCTTCCAATCTCTTCTTAAAATTTAAAAAGTTGTGGGTAATGACCCTCTTTGAATTTTTGCAACAAGCTTTTTTTTTTTCATCCTAGTTTGCCTTCTATTTGATATCAGTTCTGGTTAAGAGTAGGTAAATTTGGGCCGGGCATAGTGGCTCATGCCTGAAATCCCAGCGCTTTGGGAGGCTGAGGTGGGCAGATCACCTGAGGTCAGGAGTTCAAGACCAGCCTGGCCAATATGGTGAAACCCCGTGTCTACTAAAAATGCAAAAATTAGTCGGGCATCATGGCGTGTGCCTGTAATCCCACCTACTCAGGAGACTGAGGCAGGAGAATCGCTTGAACCCTGGAGAAGGAGGTTGTAGTGAACCAAGATCAAGCCACTGTACTCAAGCCTGGGCAACAGAGCGAGACTCTGTCTCAAAAAAAAAAAAAAAAAAAAAAAAGTAAATTTGGAATATGTGCAAATGAATTAAAGATATTATAAGTTGTTTCATGCTATAGAAATTATACTTGATATATTCTATTAGCATATTTCTAAAATTATATTTCATTGGATAGCCATCAGAAATGGATCTTCTAACAAAATAACATATATATGCGATTCTTAGCCATTGGAAAATAATGAAGCCGTGCTGCTTATTAATTTGAAACACACTCACTAAATGTTTAGATACCATGTCCATAGCTTAGCCCTGATTTTTAAACGTGTTTATTTTAGAACTATTGGAGCACCTACTTGGTGTTGGGCTCTATTCTAGGTGCTGGGGATGTGGTGTTGAACATGACAGGCAAGATCTTCACTCTCCCGGAGCTTAAATTTTAGTAAGGAAGGAGAAGTGAGGACACCAGGATAACTGCTTTGATCAAAATCTGGGTCATAGGACAGAAAATGTCTCTAGGGCACACAGCTGGTTTAGATTGGGTGGCCAACAGGCTTTTCCGAGGGACTGATGGGTAAAAGTGGGACTTGGTGACCAGAAGGAGCCAGCACTGTGAGGAACAGGCGGGCTGGATACAGGAGCTTTCCAGACCAGGAGACAGCTGGACTAAGAGACAGTCCCAGGACCCTGAAGTATTCAGGAAGAAACCCAACGACCAGTAGACAGCTGGCGTACAAGGAAGGAGGGGCAGAGAATTAGAAATAGATGCAACAATCTATGATTCCATCAAGTAATATGGGGGAAAGTAGCTTGACAAAGTTTTCTACAAGTACCCTATTTAATTGAATCTAAGACACCACTGATTACAAGATAAACATAATATATATCACTAACAACCCTGCCAATTCAATGAATTCATCCTGATTTCAATGACATAAAAATGTAGGAGAAAATGTGTCTTTTAGATTAGGTCAATTGTGGCATGTAATTTCAATGACAATTGAAATATGCAAGTCACCTCTGTTGGTCTATACGCTACTTTATTTATTTATGTCCGTATTTGAGATGGAGTCTCACCCTGTCACCCAGGCTGGAGCGCAATGGCACAGTCTTGGCTCACTGCAACCTCTGCCTCCCAGGTTCAAGCGATTTTCCTGCCTCAGCATCCTGAGTAGCTGAGACTACAGGTGTGCGCCCCCATACCCAGCTAATTTTTGTGTTTTCACTAGAGACAGGGTTTCACCATGTTGGCTAGGATGGTCTTGATCTCCTGACTCTGTAATCCACCCACCTCGGCCTTCCAAAGTTCTGGGGTTACAGGCGTGAGCTACCATGCCTGGCCTATAAGCTACTTTCTAATAAAGCATCATAGTAGCTTAACGGTGTTTGAAAAGTACTAATATGTGAATGTTATAGCAGTAAACTTGACCTTGATATTTTCATTTAAAAAGTTTATTAAAATTATTTTATCAGAATTCTAACTGCATGGCCTTTCAAGTCCAGTGGCCGAGAGACTCTTGTGATGGAGGTCTTCAGTTTCACTCTTCCCTGCTCCAGCTTCAGAGCTCACATCTAACCCTTCCTACTCTCAGATCATTCATTGGGTACTCCTGTATTTCTAAATAATCATCTTATGCCATTATTTCTTGATTTTCAACCCTTTCCAGTAAGGACTTAACAGACAGGATTGTGTGTGTCTAAGTGTGGCTCTTTCGTGAGTCATCCTGCTTGGCAGTCAGCAGAGGCTTCCAACAAAGACTCCTACCTCTTCAGCTCTAGAATATGTATTTCAGAAATTATTCAATCGCTTCTGTTTTCTCCTTCCAGAGCTCCTGTTTACCACCTTTGGGACCTCCTAGATTCATATCTGCTCCACCCAGTTCTTTTATTTTACATCTTTATTTTCTCAAATTTATCTTCCCTCCCTGGGTTTTTCATTACCTGTGATTTGCCAAGCACAGTCGTAGGTTCTTGAGATAAAACAGTGAGCAAAACAGACAAATTCTTTGCCCTTCAGATGCTTACACTAGTGGAATCAACTTTCTCATTTCTCTTGTTCACCGTGTGTGTGTGAAAAAAAGCTTTATTTGTCTTTATTTGTTCCTTTTTCATAGCAACTGTTCTTGGTGGCCTTATGGATTCAATATATTGACTTTTGAAGGAGGTCAGAGCTTTTGAAAGTTGTATTTTTATTCACTTTTTCTTTGTTCTTTCTTTTTTAAGCTGTAGTTTTCCTCACATATCTAATGCCTGGTTGTCCAGCCATAGTCTTATGAGGAAGTAGAAAATGGGCCAGAGTTCCATGTACATGAGTGAGGCTTGTGAAATAGCAGGCTTGAGTTTGGGGTGAATAGGTAGAAAACCAGTCATAGTGCTGGGAACCTCTAATTGCTAATCGAGGGAAGGTGTGCTCTGGGGGCCAGTGGCCAGGCTGGATGCCTTGGTTCGATCCAGACAGTGTCTTCCAAGAGAAGAGCCGTGGTGGGGGACAGACCTGCCCACAGGGGTCGGGCGGACCATGTCCCTCATAGGCCTCTACTTAGGCTGTCTCTAGCCATGCACCATGGTTCTGCTGCTCCATCTGCGGGTTCAGACTGAGCCAGTCCTACTGGGGAAGCAGCCCTCCCCTCGACAGCTCCTTCCTCATCCACCGGCTCACTTCTGGCTTTTAGTTTTTGTAACGTTCGTCAGACTCAGCACGTCAGCTAGTGACCCTTCCATTCTCTCTGCCCCTTGGGCTTTTTTTTTTTTTTTTTTTTTTTGAGACGGATTTTGACTCTTGTTGCCCAGGCTGGTGTGCGATGGCGTGATCTCAGCACACTGCAATCTCTACCTCCCAGGTTCAAGCAATTCTACCTCAGCCTCCCAAGTAGCTGGATGACAGGCATGTACCACCACATCAGCCTAATTTTTTTGTATTTGTATTTTTATTTTTTAGTAGAGATGGGGTTTCATCATGTTGGCCAGGCTTGTTTCAAACTCCTGACCTCAGATGATCCACCTGCCTCGACCTCCCAAAGTGCTGGTATTATAGACATGAGCCACCACACCCGGCCGGGCTTTTTTAATATTATTGTTTGAAGAGAGGCTTCAGGAGAGACTAACTTTTGGGCCCAGCTTTCTATTTTGCCCTGGTTTCATTGTCACAAATACTTTGAATTTCCGTTTTTTTTTTTTTTTTTTTTTTTTTTGCAGATAATATTGAATAAAGATTAGAGTGAACACATTGATTTGACTTTATGCCAGGGTCATTTTGAACTTGGGGGCCTATGGCAATCTCTGTTCTGCAGGAGTATGGACCTCAGCCTTTGGAGTCAGACTGGGTCTGGCAAGTTGTCTTTAATTTTTGAGACAGGTTCCTGCCTGGCCACCCACGGTGGAATGCAGTAGTGCCATCATGGCTCACTGCAGCCTTGAACTCCAGGGCTCAAGCAGTCCTCCCTCCGCAGCCTCAAAGTAGCTGGGAATACAGATGCATGCCTCCATGCCTGGCTAATTTTTAAATGTTTTTGCAGAGATGGGGTCTTGGTATGTTGCCCAGACTGATCTTGAACTCTTGGGCTCAAGCATTCTGCCTTTCGTTGGCCTCCCAAAGCGCTGGAATTACAGGTATGAGCCACTGTGACCGGCCTGGCCAGCTGTCTTCTGATATCAACTTCCAAGTGAAGGAATTGTCAGTTTTCCCTAAACCTGTGTTGATTTCACTTCTATGTTTTGCCCTTACCTCTTTATTACCAGGGCAGGTACAACCTGAAGTGCCTGTGTAGAGTGGTACATCCTTTGTCTTTTTAAAAATGTAGCTGACTTGGGGTGTTCTCTTGTTTTTGTATGGTCAACAAATCTAGGTTAATTTACCTGTGCTGTTAGCAGTTCTATGGATTTTTTGTTTCGGGCTCGGGACTACCCTGCTTGCCAGCTGCAGTTGGTGAGTTTCCTGCTCCTCAGTGATGCTGCTTTTTTAAATGAATATTGCCACTGCAGACTTTCTGATTTCCTTTTGTAAGTTGCCACATGAGGCCCACTTTGAGGACTTTTTAGAAAGGAGGTAGTAAAAGTTTTCAAACTAATTTGGGCCTTTGGGTTTGAGGCTGGTCTTCTCTGTTTGAGCAGATGTGAATGAAGAAAGAGACTTCCTCCAGCACCTGTCCACCCCAGCTTTTGTCTAATTCAAGGGCTGGAGCTTGTCCTGAGACAGTGCAACTAGCTGTGAATTTCTACCTGCTTGGTTGTATTCCACCAAGCGAGACACATTCAGTCACACTGACAGTACCATCAGGATGATTCACTGACACACACATAGTTCAAGTCGGAATGGGGCCTCTGGTTGTGTCTGAGAAGCACAGAAATCTGGCGGAGCTGAGGACTTGGCCTCCCACGCGGGTTGGTGAAGGTGCTGCAGCTCCGGGAGCTGCCAGGAGGGTGAAGCTGCTTCTCCGCA